GCGCGAATGCACGCCGCTTCTTTGCTGGCAGAAACTCGTCTCGGCACATCTCTCAACCGGTTGTATCCTGACGCCTTCGTGGAGAGAGGCTACGCTCACGAAGGAATGACGAGGGAGTGGATGCAATCAAACATCGATGTAGCTGCAGTTGTAGCCGAACATTTGGGATATGATCCCAATCTGATACGTTCGGTCTGCGAAGAGATATATCATTCTATAAAGCCATCGTGCACGAAGACGAACGTGGTTAGTCACGGGGATCTTTGGGCTAATAATCTTCTCTTCAATAACGACGTGCCTCCTAAATGCTTGCTGGTAGACTTCCAATTATTGAGATATTCTCCGTTGGCGCACGACGTGGCACAATTATTGTATCTGTGCACAGACCGGAGCTTCCGAGAGACTTGGGAGAGCACGATGTTGCGTCATTATTATGACACGTTGCAAGAGACTCTGAACATGCACGAAATCCGTGTGCAAATACCCCCATGGTCAGAACTAATCGAAGGTATGGAGGAACAACGTCTAGGCGCCGTTATTACCACGATACTCTTCTTTCCTACGGTTTTAATGAACGATAAGCTTGCCGCGCAAATAATGGACAATCCAGCGTCTTACGTCAAATTCTATTTTCGAGACAAGAAAGAGCATGTTCTCTTAAACATGAAGAAAGATCCGGTTTACAATAAAAGGATCAGTGAAGCTGTCATCGAACTCGCCGAACTTGCCTCACGATTAGATCAATTACCGAAACCATCTTAATTAAATTAGGTATATACTTTATATAGTTGATTCGCACGCATTCAAATCGTTTATTAACGTTTCATCACTATACTTTGTATGTCTTTTATATATTTTATTTTACAAGAGATGTATTGATCAATAATCGATAATTTTATTATCTTACCATCATAGTTCGCACAATAATTTTTACGAACGAATCAAAGAATGTTTTCTTGATCGGGAAATATAGCAGATAGGAAAGACCAGTCGTGACTGATAAACTGTGCGTTTGCATCTTCATCCATATCCTCTTTCTCATTCGTCGACGTGACTACAGGTTTCGACGGCGGTGATACCTCGATATCGCTTACATCTGAAGCATTGTCCTGACCATCGTCATCGCTATCTCTGAAAATTATAAAAGAATAAATATATACACAATGTTCATTCACATAAAGCAAAGTAACAAAGTCTGACAACTTTAACAAATGTAACTTGCACAAGTTTATTCTGTATACCTAGAGTTTTCGACATTTCTGGAATTCTGATTTTTTAACAGTTGTTGTCCTGCCAGCGACAAAATAAATGACGTGCACAGCAGTCTCATTGGTGGTAGAGTATGAGCTGGAACGCTAAGTAACTGAAAAACAAGAACGATGATAGATGTTAAACGATTGTAAGCGAATATACTGTGGAACCACACACACACACACATCGATCAAAAAAAAAAAAAAAAAAAAAACACGTTGTAGACATTAATGAAACGCGAGATAGGTTCAAAAGTATGTTTGCCACGTATACGTATGCGGCACTTGTAATAATCGGTCGGTCAGATGACTGGTTAATTAGTTTTAAAGCTGACATACAGCACACCTCCAAGTGAAATTTGTGCAATTCCTGCAATCTTCTACTTCAGATCTAGGTTGATTCGTCTGTTGCAACCCACACGAATATTCTCCATAACGTGTACACTTTAGTGACAAATGCGCATATATATGTATTATAGTCGAAAAGTTAAAATGCACTTTAATTTTGTTGATAAATATCTGCTGTTTGAATAACAAGTTTATATTGTTATATTAAGTACAACGGTTTTCCTTTCAAATAAATGAATATTTTAAATAATACATTAATTCGCAAAATTATGCAGATTTAGTACTCCTCCTTTAAAAATATATTTTAAGGAAAAATCTTTTATTTCATCTCTCACAAGTAACAATAATTACTGACAATATGATGTATTTAGCCTATATTTGTATTATTTGGCATTTCTCATTTCAGGATGACGCGATTGTCGGTCAATTTCAAAGAATCATGACCAAATAACGGTCAATTTCAAAGAATCATGACGACAATATTCGCAAAGCTGTTCATACGAAAAATGACCGAGATGGCCAGAATATAGCTTATTATATCATTATAATCAAGACAATTACATACGCGTAACGTCTGATGTTTATGACATGTGACGCAGTCACATTAGTTCATTATTCATAAAGTACTTATTAAAGTACTTGCGCACAATATGTAAAAGAACGTAAGAAAAGAAGATATTCTGATCTATTTTTAAGCGTAAAACCACTATTTTTAGCGTAGAAAAACATGTCTAACCTTTCCATTTAGTGCGAATGTTTTAATAGACTATAATTAGTGGATGTCTTACACGGTCCAAATTGCAAAAATGATATTAAAAGAACTAACATTATTAATCGAAAAATTACACTTGAAGTAGGTATTCTAGGTGATCAAATCTTGGAATCTTATGAATTTTGTACTCGACTTAGGCTGAAACATATTTGGCCATTTTAATTTAGACAAATATCTAAAGTAAATATATAGAACAATCTCTCGATAATAAAATAACAATAATGTGGCAAATGAAAATAACGGCACAGTAATTAGAGCGCAAATTATTAATATATTTAAACTAAAAATTTGTTATATTATAATTTTTTTACCATAAACAAGATATCTCGAGAGCAATGTATTTTTGAAACAAGTATTTCATATAAAAGTTGTAGAGTTTGAAGAGAGCCATCAGATGAGTTACTTTCATTTTGGATTTAAGGCCCACTTTGAACCCAATAAGACCCAAAATTTTTTTTTCTAAGAACGCTTACATTTTATTGCAGATTCGTATTCTATAGAATAAAAATAAAGAAATTTGTTCTTGATAATTTTTCACTAATTTCCTTTAATAGGTATAAAATAACGCTCAAAGTTCTTATTTTAAAATATATACCGGCCAACAAAGGCAGGACTAGCGGACAATTAGGCTAATAAAGGCAATTTATTTCAATATATAAAAAAAAATGTCTAGTCTTGTTGAGCAATATATATTTCAAGATAAGAACTTTGAGCACTATTTTGCGCCTATTAAAGGAGATTTAATGGAAAATCAAGAAACAAAAGTTCATTATTTTTTTCTATAAAATACGAATCTATAATATACTATCGAAAGAAAACCACCTTAGACTTCATTATATCCGAAGTAAGCCTTAAATCTAAAATCTAAATAGTTTATTTGATAGTCCTTTTCAAACAACTTTTATTTTAAATATTTTTTCAAAAAATGCATTCTCGAAATATTGTGTGTCTAAATTAAAATGGCCAAATGTTTCGGTCCAAGTATAGAATTCATAGGATTTTAAGATTTGACCATCTAGAATACCTATTGCAAACGTGATTTTTCAACTGATAACGTTAATTTTTTCATATTACTTTTGTAATTTAAAACGTTCCCTTGTTAAAAGTATAAATAAATATTGAAGTCATCAATAGATATATATTAAGAATATAAATAAACTAAAGAAATAAAATAAGAAATCCGTAAATTAATTTAGATAAAATATAAAATGCTAACAAATTTAAAAAAAATTTAAAAGGTATAATGTAATCGTAAAATATCATTACAAAACGTTGGTAGTGGTGTGTCAATGAGACAGATTGATTTAAACTTTGCCCTCTGTACCGGTGTGGCATTTTATTAGTAGGTATCAATCGCAACAATCGAGACGGTCAGCGAAGAAGATAAGACTGTTTTCCTGCTGGCCTGGTTTTACATTTGCAAGCAATCTCAGACAATTCTACAACAGCGTTTGCTATTTTCGCATCGCGCCAAGGTGTCCTATTGTAATCGATGTGGTAAAATACTTTGAAAATTAAGCGAAATACAAACTTCACCATATTTTTATATATTCGGATAATCGTAAAGTGAGTAATTTTTTGTGGCGTTTATTTTACCCGAATTTTGTTCGGATGAAATCATTTCGACTATTTCAATATCATATATTTCATTCATTTTAATAATACATTTTTGATGTGATATAATTTGTATTGAGATCGTGCCGTATCACTAGATTTATAAATTAGATAAAATTTGAAACTGACTAAATGAAGATGTTCAGATGTCTAACTTTGGACATAAAAAATCATAAACAATAGATAGAACAACAATATTCAATTCAAATGCTATAAAATATTATAAACTTTTTCTCATTTTGACTAATTTTGTCACAAAATATTTCTCCAATAATCTGAGTAAAATGTTTTAATTAAGATAAAACATCTTATTACAGCGCACATCGTAACAAGTTCAATGATCACGTAGGTCAATTTTCAAGGACATGCACTTCAAATCTCAAAATGATAATTAAAATCCTAGGTGTTTTTAATAAGAATAAACAGCGACAAACGAAGCTACTTTTAACGCGTACATTTTTGATAACAGTAGAATACGTTACGTCTCGCGCATAACTACTTTCGATAAATTTCTCGATGAGATATTTCTCGAATTTATTTTCGACACGTCGGATTAATTATTTGATACGAATGCGATGCATGTTACATTTGCCCTTATCTGCTTTTTCCAATACAACGCTACCTCACACTGTTCAATTTGCCAGGCCAACTTTCCGCCCACACGAAGAAAAGACGACTTTGTGATAACGCCGTCAAAATAAACTAAAATATATATATACACGTAAGAATATGAATAGGTGCCGAAGCAATAGAGCTCGCAATACAACGATTGTGACGTGAAGCACAGGATTTCCAACGAAGTTTTCCTGTTGTTCAGTCGTCCTAAAGGGACAACTAGAACGCCGTGAGAGGGTGGGAGTCTCTATATTAAATCATGGCGAGACTTCTGCTGAAAGCCAGTCGTTCGCGGAGCGTTGGAACACACATGAAGGGTCTACCCTGTATCCTCCGATTGTTATAAGGACTATTAAATATTTTTTCGCCTGTTATCTTCTTCGCGCTGGGTTGTGTTGGTTCATCGACTTCACGCATTGATAAAAAATTGTAATGAATAAAACCACTTGACGTAGCTCTGTGGAACACTTTAATGAAGATAAATTTCGATTAATTTGAATTTTTCGCTAAAGGAAGAAATTGTTCAGGAAGAACTCGAAGAGGGATCATCCGGTAATCATTAATCAAGAAAACGGAATAGACTGGAAAGAATTGGGGAAAAAACCCCCAAAAAAATCCAGAGTCAAGACCTTCTTAAGCATTCCTATTTCACCGAAACAAAAGCCGATTTCAAGAATGAAGCTAACTGCGTTAAAATTGATGTCGTGCCTGTTTACAACATTACTACTCGCAGTGATCGCCTTCGGATATCCCGCCAGCAACAGTGAAGCAGTAAGTGTCTTTGTATGCGATATCTCGTTGGAGTTGATACTAATATTGAGAATGATATAGTTGAAAATTATGTGATTTACCAATTTTAAATCACGGGATTTTGCTGATGTACAAATGACGCACAAGCATAACGTTCCCTTTTCTTGCTGAGCATCTCAATTATAAGAAATGTACTTCATATTTTTCTCCATTGTAAGCACGTGGGATGTCGAAAGTACAAGTGGAGGTTGGTCATTGAACGGTCCTCGTTAAACTAATCTTTATTTGTCTGAGAGTGCGATGATGTGTCCAACCATATTGAGCCGTAGGTGGTAACGTGATCTTGTAAACAGGAAGACTTTTCGCCAAGATGTCAATAACTTAAACCTTCTCATTGTCAGTAGCTTCGACCTGATTTCGATTAATGCAGTCGGTCATTATGTTAGACAATTTTTTTCCTCCTATTCGCACTTTCATTAATTTCTAACGCATTGGTAATTTTTCAGTCTTTTGTTCACAGTAATCCTAATAATTCTGTTTAAGCTATATAATTTGCAGGCGATCGAGAACATGAGGCAGATTCCACAATGGCATTGTCTCCGCTATAGAAAGTTTGATTTTGTCCGTCGCTGTCGGAATTATCGCTCAGGAAGAAGACACTGACAAATGGACATTCAATATGATCCACGATTGGCAATACATTATGGCAAATTTCGTCGTCGAATCGTGCAAAACACTCCGTTTCAACTCATTAAATTAAATAAATTTAAGTTTATTTAAATAAAATTTAAACATATTAAATTAAATTATGTAGAGACATCCGTAAAAGCATTTATGTTAGAAAAAAAATTTAAAATGTTTTTATATCGAAGAAATCTGCATTAAGTGCGACTGACAATCATGATAAGAGAAATATTATATTTTATAATTTTATTTTCATTGATAAATCCTTTATCTGCGTATATAGGGTATTTGGAAAATAATAATAAATTTTTTGAATATTAGTAGAATGGCCTAAACTGAAAAGAAAGGTCCTCTACCATTTTACAATTTTCGCAATAGTTAACAAGATATTAATTGTTAAAAATTGCCGAAAATTGATCTTCAATTATTTTTTACTCAAATATTACCAACTTTACAGAGAAACTGCAAGAGACAAAAATTGTTTATTTTCTTCTCATAGAGCTCTAAAAAAATTGTTTAGAATTTTTTCAAAATTTTTTAATATCGTATTTTCTCATGTTAAAAATGAGAAAATGCAGTACTAAAAGATTGATAAAAAATTCTGAAAAAATTTGACGTTAAACTGTAAGTCCCATATGAACTATGTACGACCAGCATGCGCACCACAGGCATATGAGAGAAGTCACCTCGCTCAGACGTGAGCAACAGGACTAAAGAGATTGCAAAAATTGCAAATGGTAGAGGACTTTTCTTCTCAGTTTAGTTCACTCTACCCCTATGAAAGATTTATCATTATTTTCCAAACACTCTGTATATAGAAGTATGAAATTTTCAAAAGACTTCAGTTTTTATGTCTATTGATTTTAAATTTTACATGAGATATGCAAAAAAAATATTAAAATGAATTTTTATATTATCTCTTATAGAATATATATAAATAATTCATTTATTTTCTATTCTTTTTTTAAATTTAGCTTAGTAAACTCTTATTTATTTTGCAAATTGTCTCAGTTTGTTTACTTAATGTAAATTTGATCTCAAATATAATAAAATTTTTTTATATTTTCCAAATAAATTTTTTTATTGGCATACTAATTGCAAGAATATTGCTGACAGAAAAAATTTATCAAAAATCCTAAAAGTCGCAAATATTTCAATTTGATCATGTCATAACTAAATA